AGGTATGTGGTTTCCGAATGTTTTCTGCCAGTCTATAGCTTTTCTTTTTGTCCTCTTAACAGGGTCTTTCACACAGCAAAGTTTTAAAATTTTCAATAAAAATCCGATTTATCAAATTTTCCTTTTTATGGACTGTACTCCTGGTATCAAGTATAAGAACGCTTTGCCTCGCCATGGGTCCTGAAGATTTTCTCCTCTTCTAACAATTTGACAGCTTTACATTTAAGTCCATGGTCCATTCTGAGTTAATGTTTATATAAGGTGTGAGAATTAAAGTAAGGTTCTTTTTTTTTCCCCATGCATGTCCAGTTGCTCCAGCACCACTTGTTTTTGTTTGTTTGTTTGTTTTAATAACAATGGTTGGCATTTATTAGTCATTTACAGTGTATCTGGCACTTTTCTAATGTACAGTTTTCAGAAGTGTCCTATGAGTTAGATTCTATTATTACCATGATTTTACAGATAAGGAAACTGAAAGGTAGATGGAATAAACCGTACAAAGCCCAATGGCAGATGACCATCAGAGCCCATGTTTCTAGCCTATGTGCTCTACTATCTGCCGTATAGAATATTTTCCCTTCTCTAGTATTAAGATATTTTATGATAATTTTAGATTTTAAAAGTTTCCCCAGTGATAATTTACTTTTTCTCACCACGAGATCTGTTCCAGTTTGCAGCAATCTAGTCAATAATTCCAAATTTTCATTATTGAATCTCGGGGCAGCACCACTTGTTGAAAAGACTGTCCTTCCTCTGTTGAAATGCTTTTTGCACCTTTGTCAAAAATCAGTTGGGCGTATTTGTGTAGGTCTGTTTGAGGTTCTCTGTTTTGTTCAGTTGATCTATATCTCTCTCCCTCTGCCAATACCACATAGTCTTGATTCTGGTAGCTATATAATGTCAACTGGGAAAAAAGTGCACAACCTAGAAGTTGAGAGTTATGTTTTATTCAGGGGCTTTACTGAGGACTGTAGCCTGGGAGACAGCCTCTCAGACAGCTCTGAGGGACTGTTCCAAAGAGATAAGGGAGGCACTGGATATAATAGGAGCTTTTGCTGGGGAGGAGAATGTAGTTGAACATCAAAAGATTACTACTAATCACAAAAAAACACAAAAAAACGGACATCTCAAGTTAATGATTTTAGTGCTTTTCAGTGTATGGGAAGATGCAAGAGCCTGGGCTCATTGAAATTACCGTTTTGATATTCATCTTAACTATCTAGGGCCAGTACCTTGTTTTTTTCCATCCTGAGTTCCCCTCAGGGTGCACCAGCAGGGGTGGCTGCAGTGGCTGATGACTTTATGGCCACAGCATCCTTTGTTTGCTGAAATGGCAGACGACAGTCTTTGCCTACAATAAGAAGTCTTGAAATCAGGTGGACTGATTCCTCCCACTTTATTCTTCTTTTTCAAAATTGTCTTAGCTATTCTAGTTCCTTTGCCCCTTCCATACAAATTTTAGAGTAGTCCTGTACCCATCTACAGAAAAATCTTGCTGGGATTTTTATAGAAATTACATTAAACTTGTAAATCAACTTGGGAAGAATTGACATTTGAACTATGTTGAGTTTCTAATTCATGAACAAGTTAATGTCTTTCCATTTATTTAGGCCTCCTTTGATTTCTTTCTTTAGCGTTTTGTAGTTCTCAGCATACAAGTCCTATACATGTTTTGTTAGATTTACACCTAAGTATTTCTTATTTTATTTTTTGTGTGTGTGTATAAGCAATTGTAAATTATATTGTATTTTTAATCAGAGTCTTAATTTAAGACTAGTATGTAGAAATTGATTTCTGTATGTTTATCTTATATCCTGTGACCTTGCTGAACCCACTTATTAGTTCTTTGAGTTTGGGGAGGTCAATTCCTTAGGATTTTCTACATAGACAATCATGTCATCTGCAAATAAAGACAATTCTATTTCTTCCTTTCTGATCTGTACGCTTCCTATTTCCTTTTTTGCCTTCTTGCTCTGTCTAGAACTTATAACACTAAGAATGGTGAGAGTAGAAATCCTTCCCTTGTTCCCAGTCTTAGGGGGAAGGCATCCAGTCTTTCACCATTAAGTATAATGCTAAATACAGGTTTTCTATAGATGTTCTTTATCAAGTACCCCCCATTCCTATTCTTCTGAGTTTTGGGTCATGAATGGATATTGAATTTTGCCATGCTTTTTCTTCATCCATTAATATAATCATGTGATTTCTTTTTCTTCATAAGCCTGTTAATCTTGTGGATTACAATGATTAAATTTTAAATACTGAACCAGACTTGCATCACTAGAACAAACCCCACTTGGTCATTGTATATAATTTTTTTTAGCATATTGATCTATTGGTCTATTCTATTTGCCTATATTTTGTTAAGGATTTTTTTTCATTTTCCTTTAACTCGGTTGTTAAGGACTTTTGCATCTTTATTTATGATGGATATTTGTCTGTACTCTTTTTATAAAAGTACTGTCATTGTCTGGTTTCGGTACCAGGGTAATACCAGCTTCATAAAATGAATTAGGAATTATTTCTTCCTCTTCCGTTTTTGGAGAACATTGTGTAGAATTGGTGTTAACTTTTTAAAAAGTTTGGTAGAATTCTCCAGTGAAACCATGTGGGCCTGGAGAAGTCTTTGGGGGAATTTTTAAATTAGGAATTCAATTTTCTTAATAATTATAGGATTATTCAAGTCATCTGAGAGGCTTTGTGTTTTTTATCTAAGTTGTCAACTTTATGTACGGTTGCTCATAGTAATCCCTATTATCCTTTTTTTTTTTTTCATTTTTTAAAAATCTTTTATTTATATAAGTGTGAACTCTACCTCTGTGGATTTCTACCTGATAATCCATTAATATCCACATTTATTTTCATGCTCACATTGTCCCCATTTGGCCAGTGGAAGTCCCACCAAGTTACCTCTCGTGCATTATATAATTTAATTGTACATTATTTGTTACAAAAAAATTGAACTAATATATCTTTTCAAACAGTGAAAAAGAACAAAAAGTGACAAGGGCCTAAGAGAAGACAGTGGCAAGTAGAAAAGAAATTTAGAAGTATATAGGTGGCGAAAGTGTGATGATTAACTTGGTATGGGCCTATTATCCTTTTGATGTCTGCAGGTCTGTAGTGATAGCTCCTGTTTCATTCCTGATATCAGTCATTTGTGTCTTCTTTTTCTTTGTCAGTCTTGCTACAGGTTTGACAATTTCATTAATCTTTTCAAAGAATCAGCTTTTAGTTTTACCAGTTTTCTCTGTTGTTTTCCTTTTCATCGATATCTGCTCTTCTCTTTCTTACTGCCTTCCTTTTGTTGGCTTTATGTTTACTTTTCTATGTTCTTGAGACTTCCTGTTTTTTTAATTTGTTTCAAGAATGTTTGTGATTGTTCACTGAAGCCATTTTATGATGGTCGCTTTAAAACTTTTTCAGACAATTCTAGCATCTCTGTATCTTGATGTTGGCATCTCTTGATTGTCTCTTAATTCAGTTTGAGAGCACGCTGGTGCCTGGTATGATGAATGATTTTTTATTTAAACCCAGATATTTTGGATACTATGTTATGAAACTTCTGTCTTACTTTAAACCTTCTCTTTTACCCCTGCTGTGGCAGAGGAGCAGGGGCTTCTCCTCATTACTGTTAGGTGTGGGTAGATGTCCAGGTTCTGCAGTTGGCCTCTGTTGACACCCCGGGAAGCGGGGGAGGAGACTCCTTGTTACTGCAGGACAGGGGTGAGAGTTCTCCGTCCCTGCTAGGCCGCCAGTAACACCTCCCTGACTGGAAGAGGTGGTAGGAATGCCTTGTTACTGGCCCCCACGTGGCCTCCCCGACACCGCAGGAACATGGTGAAACGTGGCAGTGGTGAACGTCTTGAGTCTCCACCAGGCCTCCTCTGACACCGTCCCTGGTTGCGGGGCAGGGACATCTCATTACTGCAGAGCGGGGGTGGAAGTCCAGGCTCTCCACCTGGTCTCTACTCTCCCCTCCGGGTAGGGGGGCTTCATTACCACCCAGCAAGGACAAAACTCCCCCTCCCTACTTGTCCCTCTCTGATGTCACCCCGGTGGGGGTTACTGGGGTGCCTTGTCACAGCCTGGTAAGGGCAGAAGTCTCAGCGCCCTGACGCCCTTGCTGGTGTGGTTGTGGGTGGGATGACAGTGTTTGCTCCGGTGTTTGGTTAGTGTCTAAAAGTTCCATCGTGCTGGACTCCCTGTTTCCTGGTTCTTTGGCTAGGTGGAGTAGGCTTTGGGGGACTTTTTTTGTCTTCACCATGCTCGTTTCCGGATTGCTGGCTTCTTCAGCGCCAAGTCGGGAATCTCTAAGGCAAAAAGTAAACCCAGGGGACTCACCACCTTTTATTCCTTGTGTTTCAGGATACCCAGCCAGTCTGCCCCCTCCTCTCCACCTCTCAGGGTCTCATATTTATTTTGTACGTAATGTCCAGTGTTTTTGGTTGTACTTAGTGGGAGGAACAGGGAAAAATATGTCCACTCCATCTTCCCAGAAGCAAAACAGTTTTTCTCTTTTTGCTGAGTCTTCTTATTGACCATAAACTGCGGAAGAAGAGCAAGCCTACAATACACAGTTTTGTATCCTCTGTAAGGCCTGCGCACGTGGTGGTGCTTAGTAGTTATTTGTAGACTGGCTGATTTGGCTGTTCACATGGCACCTTGACCTCACAGAGAAAAACATTCTGAGAACTGTAACTAGGAGAGACCATTCAACAGCATCTTGGGTGAACCTCTTCCCACCTGTGGCCGTGGAAGTGTTCATTAGGTGCCCAGCTTCCTAAAGAGGTGGGTTGGCGTTTTCCCTTTCATCTTCACGGAGGTTGTGAGCAGAGGGCAGACGGCCCTGGAGAACCTTTGAAATGCAAACCCATGAGCCGCTGCTGTTGGGCTAAGGTCTTCCCATTTCATGAGGTGCCCCCTTGGGGAGCCGCCCTCTGGGAACTTGCAGCGAGGGAGGGGTCCAGAGCACTCACCCCGTGTCTCCTTTGAAACAGGAGGACCATGACACTATGGAAGCCGATCTGGACAAAGATGAACTGATCCAGCCCCAGCTTGGAGAGCTCTCAGGCGAGAAGCTGCTGACCACGGAGTACTTGGGAGTAAGTACCGTGTGAAGGGGGCGGGGACCCCGAAATAGAAAGGAGAGATGGACCATTGATGGACTTAGCATTTGCAGTAACACATAAGGGTTTGGTTTGGTCTGTTATGATACTATGTTTATTAGAAGATATGTGTCAGCCAGCTTGCTTCCAGCGGCCCTGAAGTGCACAGCGGCCCTAGTTACTATCCTAAACAGATCCGCTGCTGGACAGAAGGCGGTTAGAGTATAACTAAAAGGCACACTCCAGAGCCTTCGTAACATCCGAGGGTAAGCCCGTCCTTAGTAGTAAATCGTCTGCCCGTCCAGCGTCTTGGTTTTCTCGTGCCTCATCCGTGAGAAGGGAAGACTGCTGTAGCTTTGTCAGTCGTCAGCACACAGGTGATGGCCGAAGCCATCCGAGCAGGTGAGGTCGCCCAATTAGGGAGGCGGAGGGTGGAGAGGGAGGGAGGGTGGAGAGGGAGGGAGGGCGGGGCCAAGGGCAGGGGCGGAGCCAGCATGTCAGGCGCAGGAGAAGGAAGACGGGCCCCTGAGAAGGACAGAAAGTGAACAGTCAGAGAGGCTTGAGGAGGGGTGCTTCCGGGTGGGCTGAGTGGTCAGTCAAAGCACCAAGAGGCCTGTGGAGTCACACATCTGTGAGGGACCATAATCTGAACTCCCCGACGACTCCCTTGCTACCACCCACCAGCTAGATAGGGAAGGGTGTGAGCCAGGGGAGCTGCGCACTGGCTGGGAGAGGACAGCGGCGTCGAGGGCCCAGGTGTCTCGTGGAGCCTTGATCAGAGAACACGTGGGTGAGCAGGTGGGATGCCGCAGGGTAAGGGGTCTGAAGGGAGCAGCAACGGCACAGGATGAGGCCAGTTCCGACTGAAGCCCCGTGACAGATGGCTGGCACGTAGGAGTGAAGGCCGTTGGTATTAAAAGGAGCTCCTGGAATTTTGAAGCTGGTGGTTGACTGGGTCGGTTACATGGACCCTGAAATCTCCTCAGATTGGGCAGGTCAGTGTTGGAGCTGGGATGCTGAACAATTGAAGCGAGGACAGTGACTTGGGAAGGAAAAAGGTGGTGGGTGCCAGTGGCGTGAGCCTTTCCAGGGGCAGGTGGAAGCAGAAAGCACCTGTCCATTCCCATTACTGCCCCGCCCAGGCCCTCATCACCTCACCCTGGGCACTGGTCTCCCTGGTCACCTGGGCCTGGTCTTCCTCATTGTTCAAGGAGTTTCCAGGGGCCCCAGGCTGGAGTCAGTATATGCTGGCAGAACTTGAAGTTGGAGGACAGCCAAGGGCCCAGGCATGGGGACATTGTCGGCGAGGGTTTTGGAGTTTACTCTGCGTGAGCTGGGAAGCTGTTGGAGGGCGCAGAGCAGGGCAGTGCTCAGTCTGACTTACGTTTTACTATATTAACTTCTATTTTCACTCTGGCTGCTTTGTGGAGAATAGACCACATGGGGCAAGAGTTAAAGAAAGGGGGTGATTTAGGAGGCTGGGTGACCACCGGCCCCCAGTCATGGACAAGTGCCTATAGCCCGCCACTGTCCCTAGAAACAGCTCAGGGATCAAAGGAACCTAACTGACTGCGGAGGCTCCATTACGTTAAGTCAAGTGGGGAGGTAGGTGCTTGAGAAGGGACGGAAGTGAGGCCATCCGGGTTCCAAACTGCTGATGGAAGTCTTGAGCCCTGACTAGGCCTTTGCTTCCCTTTGGAAGAACACTGGCTTTGTCAGGGAAGGCCTGAGCTCCATTTGACAGGACGTGTATTTTTTTTTCAATTTATTTATTTTTCATTTTATTTATTTTTGTCTGTGTTGGGTCTTCGTTGCTGCGCGAGGGCTTTCTCTAGTTGTGGCGAGCGGGGGCAACTCTTCGTTGTGGTGCGTGGGCTTCTCACCACGGTGGCTTCTCTTGTTGCAGAGCATGGGCTCTAGGCGTGCAGGCTTCAGTAGTCGTGGCACACGGGCTCAGTAGTTGTGGCTCACGGGCTCTAGAGCGCAGGCTCAGTAGTTGTGGCGCACGGGCTTAGTTGCTCTGCGGCGTGTGGGATCTTCCTGGACCAGGGCTCGAACCCGTGTCCCCTGCACTGGCAGGCGGATTCTTAACCACTGCGCCACCAGCGAAGCCCTGGACGTGCATTTTTAAAAGCAAGATTCTCATGCTTCATGGGCAGGTGGTGAGGAAAACAGAAGGCAAGTTGGTGGGGCTTCTCTGGAGGATGGTGGCGAAGCTGTCGAGAACTCAGCCCTGAGATGCTGGGACTTCCCCACAGACACCACTGCACAAGCACGCGAGGGTCAGCAAGGATGTTCAGACAGAAACCCCAGTACAGCCCCTCCGCTAAATAGCTTTTAGCACCTCTGCACAGTGGAATGCCGCGGGTGAGATCTTATGTTGATGTGGTGAAGATTTTTAACAGCAACAACGAAAACAAGACACCGAACATGCTGGAACTACCAGTTTAATCTTGCAGTTTGGTGAGGCACAAAGTGACAGAGCTTTCAAATCAACCAATAATCCAGCTTAATGGCATCCAGAAATGGTGTCATTTTACCATAGCCTGCAGTTCTAACTCTCCTTAATGCATAGGTACTGTTCTTTTACCAGAAGGAAACATTTAGAAAAGTTCTGCACATGCTTGTTTATCTCATTGGTGTCAGTTACTTGTCGGTGGCAATGTGAGTGGTAAGAATGAAGTACAGAAAGAATTCGTTATAGGGACGTGAAGACCAAGGCTATTAGCTTCCTAGGGCCGCAGTAACAAATGACCATAAACTGGATGGCTTAAAACCACAGAAATGTATTCTCCCACCATTCTGGAGGCCAGCAGTCCACAATCAAGTTATCAGCACAACCACACTCCCTCTGAAGGCTCTAGGGGAGAAGCTTTCTTGGTCTTGCACCTTCTGGCAGCTCCAGACCCTCCTTGGCTTGTGGCTGTGGAACTCCAGACTCTGCCTCCTTTCCTCTTCTCTCTGTGTTCTCTTGTCTCTTATGACACTCTTCACTGGATTTAGGATAATCTAGGATGATCTCTTCATGTTAGGATCCCTAATGTAACTACATCTGCAAAGATGTATCCAAATCCGGCCCTGTTCACAGGTTCCCGGGGTTCGTACATGGACAGATCTGTTGGGGGCCACCATTCGACCCACTAGGCCAGGTCACCATAGGATCTCATGTGGAAACACTTTAAAGTTTTATTAGAAAACTTACTGTTGAGCAGTAATCGCTGAGGTTATAGGAACACTGCCCGTTTTGCTGTCTTTGTTCGTTAGATCCTCAGCCGCCCTCAGCCACCCAGTGTTGATTTGAAATTGACAGCCGGCCGGCGCTGTGAGCTCACCTCACCTGCCCACCTTTGGCTCTGGTGGTTCACGCGGGGGTTGTGCACTCATACCTGCTAACTGCTTGTGTCAGACGAGGGAACCTGCCAGAGACAGAAGGCATTGCATTTCACTAGGGAATGTGCACCCCAAAAGTCACAATTCACGCCTCCCATTCTGGTGTACTAGGTAGACTAGATTTTTCAAGATCAGTGGAAAGCTGTTGACTTTTAGAAACTTGTATTCAAAAATTTTTCATTGAACCTGTGCCATTTGCCTAACACACAACAGAATGCTGGCAAAGTTTCTCAAGCTGTTATCTTCCAGAAGTTTACAGAAGATGACACAGAGCAGATAAAAGTGTGCTGTTGATGAGGGATGGGGGGTCGGGGGTTGACAGGTATCGTCCTGTGATGTCAGAGCTGGCCGTCGAAGGTACGTTAAAATAGAGTCTAGGGGCTTCCCTGGTGGCGCAGTGGTTGAGAGTCCGCCTGCCGATGCAGGGGACACGGGTTTGTGCCCCCGTCCGGGAAGATGCCGCGGAGCGGCTGGGCCCGTGAGCCATGGCCGCTGAGCCTGCGCGTCCGGAGCCTGTGCTCCACAATGGGAGAGGCCGCAACAGTGAGAGGCCCACGTACCACAAAAAAAATAAAAATAAAAAAAAAGAGTGTAGGTCCCAGCCCAGACCTCCTTACCATAATCCCAGGAGTGGTAATTGTACACACCAGTGATTTTAAAACTATAATACTAGTTAGGGCGTGAGCGGGGAGGTACAGTGAGGGCAGCCTGCCAGGGTGTCGAGGGGATGGAAGGGAGCCCTTCCCAGGATGCCTGGACCCATGGCTCCCCGCTTGCTGGGCATTGATGGCCACCCCGTGCCCTGCAAGGCCACACTCGCCGCCTGTCCTCACCCCCCCAAGTTCAAGCAGATAGCGCCTGTGCACTGCAGAGCCCGGGCCATGAAGAAGCTGGCAACCACAGGGAACTCAGGGAAAGCTCGGGCAGAACAAGCCCCTTTTCCTGGGCTTGCCTGAGCGTGGTGGTGGCCACATCACATGTATCCGTTCATTCATAATTCTGGTGAAAACAGCACCCTTCTGTGTTTCTTCTTCAGGCCGTGATGAGCAGCAGATCAAGATTGATGACTTGCCAACTTCTCCTTGCTTGGTTATTTCTAAATCTTTCAGAATCATCCACATTATGCCGAATAATCGCTTAGTTCTTCCTAAAAAGAGTGCCCTGCTTTAAATATCTTCAGTACCCTGGGTAAAGGAGTGTAGATATTCATCATAGGATCTCAGTTGTCTTGTTTTTATTTTGAAGTTTAAACTTATTGTTCAGTTACCTTTAACCACAGTCATAGGCATGCCTTAAATTAGCTGGGCTCACGTCCTGGGCCAAGTCCTGTGCTGAGTGCCTCACACATCTGATTCCATTTATTTAATCTCCTCCCAACAAAGGATGGGGTAAATTCTGCTCGTGTTGCGTGTCATAGATGAGGCAGCTAAGGCTGAGAGCGTTGAGGAGCATTCTCAGGTGTTATCTGAGCCTGTTTGCTCTTTACCACTAAGCTCTGCTGCCTTCCGGGAGAACCGCTGATTTTCCAGTGAATTCTGTTCCGTATTTGAAAGTTTAGAGTCTCCAACTGTGTGAAATATTCAGAATTACTCTATGGTCCAATTTTT